ATACTTGGGTCCTAGCTAGATCTAATCCCTGACTACAAAAATGGGCATCTTCTTCGGGATCATAAAGTGCTTCTGGTCTTATTTGGAAAAATTGAGCAAACTATTTTTTAAAAAACAAATACTAATTAGGTTAGTAGGCTGTACATATATATAATACCAAATCTATATATATTTACATTAAAAGCAACTCTTGCAGTAAACAGCACGACGCCAATCCATAAATCTCTTTTTTTATTGTCAACACCCTTTAGTCTCCATAATAAAAATCCTTGCAATGCAGTTCTGTAAATAAAAATTCCTGTAACAACTAAACTTGTTAATGCAATACATTGGCCTTTTGTCACATCATTTGGTACTACTAATTGCCAAACTTGAGATATAGCTTTAATTAATCCTCCGAAATTATATAAAATTTTAAAAACATTCAGCAAATTTGTTCGAGATTTATACAATGTTATCGAAACAAACAAATTATGAAGGTGCGTCTATTCGAATAAACCATTATTAAAATAAAATCATTCATTAATTAATTTAATTTTTGTAAGTTTTTTTATTCACGTTACCATGGTGTAAAGACCATTGAACCATCCAAAAAGAGCTTGCATCAAAAATGGTTCGTACATTATTGCTGTTTCAGTTTATTCTTGAAGTTTTAAATTTTTTCAAGAATTATTTTTCCTTAAATATAAATATTAAAATTATATATTTTTTAAACAATACAACTTGAAACCTTAAGGATTTATTAGGATATTAGTAGTGTATTATGAACGAGAGAATAAGGGAAAACCAAAAAAATTTTTTGTGAACAATTTTTATTTAAGTTTCGTGTAATATATATAATTTATTCTTTGATTGTTTCAAAGATTCATTAGAATAAAAATACTTGTTAAACCATGGTTCATTTTATATTCGTGCAACATAGTTGCGGGATTAATAATACAAATATTTAAATTGAAAAGATAAGAATAAATACAAAGTTTAAAAATATTATACATCAAGTTCATCATTTAAAATTCTTGTTGTCCTAGGTGTCCCCACCGAAATTATTATCTGCGGTTTCTTCGTTTAATCACTTCTATGTCTACTTTGTTTCATTCATTATCATATAAATTATCATCATCAGTATCATAATTTTTGTTTCCGCTCTCTTCCTTGGTAGATCGACCATCCATTACTAAATTCAGACACAATGGTAATTTTACCTCATCTATATTAGTATTAAGGTTGTGTTGGTCTTTAAAAAGACCGGTCTTTGAACTGGTTTCTTTGAACCATGGTTCTAAATTTTAGGACCAGTCTTTATAGGATCAGCTAATCTTTCTTAATAAGGAAATTTTGAAACAATTTATCTTCTTTTTGTCCATTGGTTTTATTTTAAAATTTGAGATTATCTTTTTTTTTTTTAGAGTTTTTATTATTGTTGTTGTTTTATTGAAGCCAATTTTCCAAAATTAGTGGTATTACTACTTATAAAGACGCCCAAAACAAATACATTAAATTATTGTACCCAAAATACAAAAAACTTTACATCAATATCGTAATGATCCTCATAATTCAATTAACCAGAAAAAAGGCAATGAATCTATAATAAATTGGATAGTTTGTGATTTATGTCGCTTTTGATCCTAGATATAGATTTCATGGTAGAACTATCATTTTTTATTTTTTATTTATATTTTTATTAATAAATTTGGTGGAACAAATGGAACAAAAATAATTAAATGGGGCGCTCTAGGAAAACCGGGTTTCGAGTAAATATATAAAAAAAATTTTTTTTTGTGTAAACAACAGTAACTCAAATGAGCACTTGGCTAAACTGACTATATAAACAATATAGTCATATGTTAAGTCAAGTTTAGTCAAGATGATTGTTACTAAATTAGGTTTTTAACCCCATTACGCTGCCAGCCCTGGTAAACAATTAATTAAATTTGTTACACCTGGAAATTATTTAATATTAATATACGAAGTATGTATATTCATCTTTAAAAATTTAATTGATGGTTGGTTTTATGATTCCTGAGCATACAAATTCATCTGTGATGCAAATTTTGGATATATTAAGAGTAAATACAAAAATAGAATTATAGATATAGTTGATGATGTTGAAAAGGTGATAAATGATTCAGCAGAATGTAATAAGCCTGTTAGATATAGTAATGGCTTGAATTGGAGCTGGTATAATTTTACATTGTTATTTGAAGGGAATGTTCGAAGCCTTCCGAATATAACAAAATATTATCATTTTCATTTCAGTAGTTTACCAAATGATATTGGAGAAGTTTATGTTTCCAAAAAATCAGGTGGCACAGAAACTTCTTTTAAACTTTTAAAAAATGATGATTTGATAAAAATAATCAATTAACCCTACTTGAGGTTGCTCCGTTAACAAAAGATAGAAAAATTTATTGGTATAACAAAATTCGTCGGCATGTAGACCCAAAATTTAGAGATATACTTTGCCCCAATCCTAATTAATTTTATATAATAATTTTTAAACAATCAAATACTTTATTAGATACTCAAAATGGTAAATTAATACTAATGACAAGCGTAATAAAAATTATGAATTACATAGTAACACTCTATGGGGTCTCCGTGACTATTAAATTTATTAAATTAATTATGAAATGTGCAGTATGTAGATCATTGCTTTTTTTAAATTTTGATTTTTAAATTCGATTCAAATAAAATTTTGGTTACCCCCAAGAATTTATTTTTGCACTATATAAGTAAACCACATCTAATGTTTTCACAAATTATAGTCATGATGTTATAGTTTAATATTATGCAAAAAAAAATTTTTGACCAAAAGTCTCGAAACCCGATTTTCCTAGAGTGCTCCCAAATTCATTGTTATTTGTTGCCAAAGATTTCTAGGTAGTAAGCAGGATAAATTTGTAAAATAAAATAATTGATGAGTGTAACTAAAAAGTCAATTTGAACCTGGTCATAAAATGTAAGATAATCAAGATTGACCAAAAAGCTACTTCGCAATATGTGATTCACATCAAAAATCCTTTAAACAATCTTTAACCAGTTCCAAAGACCGGTCTTTAACCAGTCCCAAAGACTGCATCTAAAGACTGATCTTTTGGGACCGAGACCGGACCGGACTGAACCAACACAACCTTAATATTAATCTATATTAATATCATTAGAATTTTTTCCCCTGGATCCTGATAATTTGAATGTTCAGAAGTGAACTGAACTGATGCTAGACTCTGAATAGATGCACAATTGCTTCCTGAAATTTCCGAGATGCTTTTTTTAGTTGAGGTATCAGTTCTAGTTGAGCCACTAGGAACATTTTTTCTAACTTTAATCACTTTGACTATTTCTACATCAGCAGTTATAAAATATGATAAACATATGCATAATATCCAAGTATAGTCAGAGAATTATATAAAATTCATTATCTCCTCAAACTTTTTAAATGCATTCAAGCTCAGGTCCTAACTACAACACCTTTGAGTAATTAAGTCTGTGCTTCCAGAAAAAACTCATTTAACCAGGATACTGGTTGCTATAGTAAGTTTATTAGATTAGAAATTAATAAATTTAATTCTAAATAACCAGAATGCAAAAATCAGAATATCAGGGACTGCCAAGTAATTTTTAGCCTAAAGCTCTGAATGGTTTGGTTTTGGTTTGGTTCAAAGAGTAAACCAAAACTGAACCAGATCATTCGAAGCTTTAATCTGTATGTTAATGGTACTCAATTATAACGAATTTTTGGGAAAGCTATTTCAATCAATTGCACAATGATGTAAAATCTATAGACTTATCAATATTTAATAAATCAGGAGTTAAAAGAAGTATTCAATAATTGTATTAAATTTCACTTTGTGGATACATTAGATACAGATACATTAGATGGCAATAAAATACTTTCAGTACTAAATCAAACATTACCAAACAAACTAAACTCAATGATGCTTCCTTGTAAGTTTTCTATTATTAATGTCAATCCTTTTGATAATATTTGATTTTATTTGGTTGAGAGTATACATGAAGTCGAAATGTTTTGACTTGAGGCAACTACATAGTAAAAATCAGTCAGTTTCCACCTTATTTCAACCCTATTTTGACCAGATCTGCAAATGGTCAAATAGTTTCGACTTCATGTATAATTGGGAGAATGTTATTTGTGCAACCAATAACATAAAACCTTATGAAAGAAAATTACTTAAAATAATTTTATATGTATATATTCAATGAGTAAGGTGAATAATTTAGTTATAATCATAGAACATACAATACATAATATTGATTGATTATTTTTATTATCAATTATTTTTATTAAATGAGATATTAATGAATGATAGGTAAATGAAAAATTTGTATATGTTAAAATCATCTATCTGATTAATATACTATATGTTAAATCACAAACAGTGACATTCTCATATTACTTAATCCTGTAATATGACCAGTTAATAAAGCTCTCGCCATGTTTTTCTTTATTATTATTTTATTTTTATTCAAAAAACGTAAAGATCAGCACAGAACTTAGCCAATCAGAATCTCTTTTCATGACGTTAATAATTACAGGATAACTCTTCTAGAATTTTTCATAACGTCGATCATTACAATATTTAGTATTTCCATATCGAGTAAAATACTTGACTGAATTGAGAAGAAAAAACAAGGGCAAACAAGAATTTGAAGGGAAAGCAAGCATTTTTCATAAGAATGGCAGTGGTTGCTGCAATTATTGCATCATGTCATCATTCTAGTTATTTAAAAAGAATGATGGTGGTTACAATACATCACTCTAGCTAATAATAATATAACATCGTATACAAGAGAGGACAAGAAAAATAAAGAATCAAAAGGATCAGAGATAGACAAGTAAGTATCATCGGAAGATAAGAGCTTTTTTGCATATATCTTGATGATTGAATTAAAAGTTTTGCTTCTTGGTATATCTCTTAGATATGAAGAACAAGAACAAATAATAAAACCATTATCAACAACATCAGGAATAACAATTAAAAAAAAGCTTGGTGTGTTATATATAGATTTTATATCAATTAATTCAGCTATTTTACATTAAATAGAAGATAGTGACGATGAATATGATGAAAATGAAATTCTAAAATATACTTTCTCCACTACTACTACAATTACTGCAAATTGACCGATCCATTGAGAACTGACGGATTTTGGACTGGTCCATTGTCATTAATAAAACACTAAATATGGTTAATGTGCTACACCAATGGACCGCACATTTGCCAACCCTGATTACTGCTGATTATCTTGCTGCAGCACGCGAAATTATGTACAAAGAATCTTTGTCTCTGGTAAAAATCAAATTTAGCCAACATGTAGTTAATCTTTGAAATTTTATTTTAGTTGCCACAATTTCCACAACTTTCAAAAAAAACATGAAAAATTCAATTCTGAAAATTTGACAGATCAGGAATTTAATGAAATGAAAATTGTAACTCTTTCAATTTTTTTTTCTATTTAAAATTTCCCATTCTAAATTCATCATTTCTCTTTCAGCTGCTATACTTGGATATAAATTGGTTTTTTTTTTATATTATTGAAAGAAGGAAATTGTTGATAAATTATACTATTAGCAGTATTTTTTTTTCTAAAGTTTTTGATTATTGAATTGATGTTATTTTTTCTATTGAAGATGGTAATAATGATTTGACTAAGTGAGTTTAATTCACTCAGCTAGTATTTTAACCAAATGTCAGAATTTGGCTATTTGGCCAGCCCCCCCCCCAAAAAAATGTACAAGATGGCAAGACTTCTCAATTTCGATAAATTGGTATAAAACTGTCATGATTATATATATATATATATATATGTTGGCCAAAATGGCCAAATACCAACACTGTTTTAACCACTTGGAGTTTTAGAATTTGCTACTTATATATTTGACATGGTTAGTAGGTTCATTACCAGTACTGGTAATTTAGCTCGGACCTAAATATTTCTTTTTGATTGATAATTAGATTTTTTCCAAATAGGACAAATTTGATTATCATCAAATTATTTTTGTTGCAGCATACCCCAAATTTAATCATTCATTATCATTTGATTTGTAGGAAATTTAAAGATTGTGAATATTAGAGGTGAGCCAGGTGATAAGCATCATTTAGGAGAGCTATTACAATCAATTGCTCAGAATTGTCCAAATTTAGAAAATTAGTAATATTTTACAGGAATATATTGAATCGACATTTAGCAGATATGCAGTATTTAATAAATGTACCCTATTGAAAGGCATTAGATTGTATAATTATATTTATTGGGAAATTGATTTAAATGCTGATAAATATTTATGGCTTTAAATGAAAGTATTTAAATACTATAGTTTTTGAAAACAAAGTTACTACTTATGATAACAATTCTTTAGAATTTTTAATGGACCTTTGAAAATTGAAAAGTAGGAAATAATAATGCAAAATTATTGGATCAATTGAAATATGGCAACATCTAGGATTTCATTGATTTTCAATAAATATATATTTTTAGTCAGTTGGGAATATAAATGTAGGATTCTTTTTCTTTTGCAAGTAAGTTTGTAAATCTATAAAAAAAAAAAGATATCATATTATTATTAAATGATTAAATAATATTTTAATTTTGAAGAAAAAAAATTCTCTCTTGATAAATCTGATAAAATAAACAAACCAAGAGGAAAAATAATAACTGTTTATTTCTAATTTAAACAAATGTTGATGAATATTAAGTTTTCATTAGTTGAGCTTTGTTACCCTTGTAATAATTCAGATATTGTCTTTTGACTATGTGTCATTAATGATAATTACTAAAACTATTATTAAATATTTGTTTATTTTGATTTCTAAAAAAAAATTAAATTTCAGTCTTGCTATTTAAAAGACTAAGGTAAGTTGACCATAAAACACCAACTGAACCAACAAAAGGTACTCGATATTGCAAAGGAAGAAAACGAAAATTTACAAGTTGAACTAATGGCCAAATTGTATAATTGGCTTTCAAGGCTGAAAAATATCCCTATAAAATTTTTAAAAAGTAATTAAAAAAAAAAACTCAATTGATCTTATTTGTTCAATATTTATATATATATACATATATATACATACCTCGTTAAATTTTAGTTTAATTCCATCGTAATCATGACCCTCGGAAATGCCCATAAATCCAAAAAAAAAAACTAATCCAAAAGGTGCAAAGAAGATTTGATCAACTGCTACTCTTTTTAAAGTATTTGTCAATATCATATTATTCTTTTTTATAAAAGTGTTGGAAGAAACAGAAGGGGGAGAAGGAGAAATTGATGCAGGAGTTAATGAAAATGTTGTTGTTTTTGTAGTGGTGGTGGTGGTGGTGGTAGATAATGGAAATTTTCTATCAAGTAGCGAGAACCATGAATGAACAATTGGTGCAACTGAGAATCCGTAGAGTGAAAATCGTAAAAGTCTTGGGTAATCAAAATGTTCGTTGCTGTGTAGTCGTTCTTTAGCTTCTTCCGATTCATCTTTAGGATATTTTCTATTGACGTTAATATTAATAGATTGTGCTAGTATATCTGACAAAGCCATTAAATTTCCATTTGTAAAGGCTAATGTTAATACTGGATGGGCTTGGTAGTTCTTGGTGTAAATGCCGTTTACCAAACTAAACGCGCTCAACATTTTATTATTGAAGACTACTACTAACAACCTACTTCAAACTAACAACTTTTATCAACAACTGCTGTTATAAAATTAGCTGACCAAATTAACCAATTTCATATATTAATAATATTAATATAAAAATTTATGTGTGATGATGATTTAATATGAAGATCTTGAGACAAAAAAGGAACCAGCCATCATTCCCTTCGCAAAATAAATCACTGCTAGCTAACCTTTCATTATATTAATAATAAAATAAATTTTTTTTTAATTCTAAATTCTAATATATGTGAAAAAAATAAAAATCATTGATTGTACAAGTATTTAATTAAATGTTGGAAATATTAAATTAAAAAACAATATATTAATTATAATACTAATTGTCCGATTTAGAAGCCAAACATGAACAATCAAAAATTTCAGAGTCCGATAACGAATTTCTAACAGAAATATGTAATTTAATTTGGTCCCTGTTTTGTGAATAGCCATATTGCCAGGCTAATTCAGGGATTACAGATTTTAAATAAGGCCCAATATCAGCACCATACTTGTGTATTAACAGGTAGCCAACGGATCCAAATGGTTTAAGAGTTTTCTCGATAATATCCATCACAGAAGAACCTTTAATAAAATGAAGACCAAAACTGCAAAACGGATTAAAGCCATTCTTGCTAAAAGTTATTGTCAATTCGGTTTCGAAAACTGCCATGACCTCTTTGATCACATTTCTTAATGCCATGATAAATTCATCTAATTTTTCCACTACCGGATTACAAGAAAATGCAAGTCCCAAATCTTTCCGAGATAAAACCATATGTGAAAATTGTTTGGATGAAAGCTTTTGATATGGTAATTGATAATAGTCTAATTCTGTTTCTATTTCTTCTATTGATATTGGCAAAATTGACTTATTTGGAACAAATTCAATAGATGGCCAATGAATTTTCCCTGTACGATAAAATTGCATCACGATACGAAATAAACATCCATCCCTGTCTATGAAATATTCATTTCCATTTATTGGCCTCAATAATTCTACATTACGTTCTGCAAACATTATTCCTAATAATGTGTGTGGATATGCTATTAGAGTTGAACGATATGTTTCATACTACATATGACATTGATTTGATAACATTAATGTAATAATATTAATATTGTGTGATGATAACAATGATAAATAAATACATTGATGATGATGATAATAATACCTTTACACCCCCAACATTCAAAATTATTGATTCTTCTTGAAGTATATTTTTTTTACCATTATCAATCTGACCACTTTTATCAGCAGCAACATCAACAACTTCTTTAGACATTATTATATTTACTTTTAAAAGTTTTAAAGTTTCGGAAAAAATCTATTGTGAAACAACACTCATTGTTTAAAAAAAGTTATTCACATGCATAAATAAAGAAAATTAAAAAATTATATATATAGTTTTAAAAATAATAAATATCTTATCCTAGATGTTAAATTTAAATATGTATGTATATATAAATATATATATATATATATTTTTTTTTTTTAATTATTTTTCAAGAGAAATAGCCTCATATAAAGTTTAGAATTTATTTTGTGAATTATTATTATTATATTTACTTTATTCTAATAAATTATATGAGAGGGTATTGTCCTTATTAAAAACAATCTTGGAAAATGGATAACGACAATAACAAAGACAATTTACCTTATTGGGGACGTGTGTAAGTTTTTTTTTAAACAAAATCTTTTTTCTTTACATTTCTTCTAATTCAATACAATTCCTATAATTCCCTTCATTCAGTACCGCAACATTAGACTGGTGTGAAGTAAGCAGCAGCAGCATTATTATAAACATCATGAATTTCGTCTAAACTTTATTAATTGTTTTCTGAAAACTATTTGTAATAACAAATAAAAAGGAAAATTATAACGTACATGAATACATAGCAGAATTCATCAACACTACAACAAATTTTATTTTTGGTAAGTTATTTTTTATTTAAAAAAATTTTTTTTTCAAAATCATTATATATAATAATTATAATAACGTCAATAAATTAAAGTTTTTTTGGCCTTCTATGGGTTTTATAATACATGGAAGTTGGGTTTTGAAAAGCGATTCCTTTTAGCTTATGCAGCAATATCATTCATTGGAATAGGATCTTTTTTTTTTCACATGACTTTATTATATGAATTTCAATTATTAGATGAACTTCCAAGTATGGATGGATTATGGTTTATTTCTTTTTTTCTACATGATCATCCATATTAATAATCATTTTATTAAATGACAATATATAGTGATTTATGGAACTTGTATATTATTATATAATATGTAAGCCATGCATATTTATTTACAAATTTATTTAATTATTGTGATTAATAAAAATTTTCTTTTTGTAGATTTGAGACAGGTCACAAAAGGAAATATGGTATTTATTTACCGTTGAGTTTATTCACATACGCGATTTCCATAACGATAGCATACCTATACAACCAAAATCCAGTATTTCATCAAGTCTCATACGCAGCCATGGTGTCAATTCTAAACTTCAGATCTTACTACATGCTCTCTTTGGTCAAGGAACGCGAGACCCAGAACCTGTTGAAATGGTTATTGTTTGGTTCTTGGATCATATTTGGTTGGGGATTCTTGGTTTGGAATATTGATAATGTGGCATGTCATCAATTGCGCACGATACGTAGAAATCTTGAATGGCCCGTTGTCGGTCATTTATTAGAGTTGCATGGATGGTGGCATGTCGGTACCGCGATAGGTACTTATTATTGGATCGTGTTCAATCAATACATTAGATTGATTTCGTTGAATAAAGATGATAATTACAATGTTGTATGGGATCTCGGATTTTTGCCCCGTGTTGCTGAAATTAAAAAAATAACTGCCCTCAACAAAAAACAACAATAACAAAAATCAATTGGTTGAAAGGACCGAGAGTTTGAAGAGACAAATAAGTGATGATAAATTTAATGACCATTATAAACCTTAAGAGTATTTTGTAATGTAGATTATTATTAACATTTTTCTTTTATGAGATAAATTATCAATATACACTATTATTAATAGTTTTCTTTTTATAATAATATTAATCACAAATTTATATAATAATTAATAGTATTAATAATATTAATAATTAATATAAAACAATAATAGAAGAAAATTAATGATATATAAAATATTTTCATATTAATGTAAAATTTAATTTTTTATGAAATTAATAATAACAACCAAAGAATAAAATTACTCTCCCCAAATATTTTTTTTGAAAAAAACTATAATTTTTTATTCAAATTATATTATTAATATTAAATATTATAACGAAGCAATTAAATATGTTACAAATAATAATTAAAGGTTTTTTGAAAATAATTATACATAAAAAAAAAAAAAGCAAATAAAAATATGCAAAAATTAAATAGTTCAATTAAACGGATCAAATTAACAGATATTACAACGATCAATCATAATTAAATATCGTCAAAATAAAATAAATAAAATCCGTATTACATATAATAACTATTATTAAAATGTTTCATCTTGATTTGGACATTCTTCTGTCCAATGGATCCCATATTCTTCACAATTATCACAATACTAAAAAACATCAAAGACAATATTAATATAAATTTCATATATATATATATAAAATAAATTACTATTAAACTTTACGTACTGCTTTATCCTGTACAATCCTAAACGTCTCGTCTGGATCAATAGTGAGTTCAGATTGAGATCCAAATACTGCTTTACAACTAATAATATCGTGCCCCTCTTCTTCACAGATTTCGCAATATAATGTTGAACCTCCATTTTCTTTTGTTACAGGCGTTGACGATGTTGTTGTACTAACTGACAATCGTGATGAATTCATTACACCATTTTCAGAAACTAATTCATTAAGGTCTACCAATCCACCACCATTAGTTCTCAATTCTTTCAATTGTTCTTTCAAATCATCAACCTCATCCTTTAAAAGTTTCATAGTACGTTTTTCACGTTGAATCTCCTCTTCTAAATCTGCCTCACGAAAAATTTTACTCTCGACTAAAGATTCCAATTCAGCAACATCTTTATTTAATGAACTGACTTCTTTTTGTTTAGCCTTCTCTAATTCTGCTACTTTCTGACGCAATTCTCGTATTTCTGCATTATGCATTGAGGTCAATCGATCCAATTGTACTTGTTTTTCTGATAACAATGATTGGAGTCGTAATAAATCTGCACCAGCTGGGTGACCATTTGTAGATGTTGAGACTGTAGTTGGCGTGGATGGTTGTTGTTGTGGTGTTTGTGGTTGTGCAGCCTCTCCTTCCAAATTATCAACATTATGAGATTCTTCACCGGTTTTATATTCCTCCTGCGATGTTAAAGTTAAAATACCTTGTCCGCCAAGTGATTCGCTGTGTAATCGTTCCAATTCATCCATCAATTTAAAACATTCATTCTCAACTTGTTTATGTGCTTCCATTAGCTTTTCTTGTTCCGCCAATATTTTCTTGTTTTCACCTGCGATCTTAACATTTTCTCTTGTAAGTTCTTGCACAATATGTTTAAGTCCTGCTATTTGTTCTTCGTTCGCTGCAAGCTTGTTTTCGACTTCTTTAGGTGTCGACTTGGATGCCAATGCTAAATCTTTAATTTTTATTTTCAATTGTTCGTTTTCATCTTTAATTACATTAATCTGTGTTTCATATTCAGCTTTGACCTCATTCAATTTTTCGGTTGATTCAGCAGCGGCTGCAGCATCATCGACTTGAATTGTTTGAGTTTCGATCTCCTTGAGTTCTTTGATGTGATCTTTTTTGAATTGCTCGTAACTTTCATTAAGTTGATCTAACTCTTTTATTTTAACCTCGAGATCTGATTTGAGTTTGTCTGCAAGTTCAGCTTTTTTAATCACTTCTTCCAATTGTTGATTCAACTCTTCAACTTCTGTCTTAACTTTATCACGTTCACCAATCAATGCTGACTTTTCTGACTCTGAATCTCTAAGTAGTTTAGTATTGCTTTCTACAGATTCTGTTAAATTAGCTTTCAATCCTTCAATTTCTTTTGCAAGTTGATCTCTTTCGTTCTCGCCTTGTTGTAATCCCAATTTCAATGTGTCCAATTCAGCAACCAAATCTTTCTTTTGACGTTCATTATCTTGTATCTTTCTTTCCAACAATTTCATTTCATCTTTAGAGTTATTGACTTCGTTAATAACAGCACGTTTCTCGGCTTGTAGATCTGATAAAGATTTTCGTAGATTCTCAATTTCTTCTTGGTATCGTTCAGCATCGCTCTCAAAAACTGATTTAATCTTTTCCACTTCTTCACTATTATTAGCTGTCATTAGATTTTCCACATTACTTTTAAGTGCAGCAATTTCTTCTTGTTGTCTGGTAACAAGTGCTTGTGATTCGCGCATATCATCATCTAATTGGTAAATACGTTCACGTGACTTGGCATCTGCTCTCATCATGTGTTCCAATCCACTTTGCATATCTACCAACTCGTTACGAAGCCCTTCTTCTCTTTTCTCATTCAACTCCAACTTAACCTTGGCATCATTCAATTCTTTCTGCATCACTTTATACTTTTCTATTTCTTTATTGGCCAAAGAAAGTGATTCCTCTTTTTTTGTTAACTGGATCCGAAACTCCTCAACCTCTTTTTTTGTATCTTCAATTGTTTTCTCATATACATCAATGGCTTCCACACCAGCCGATCTCAACTCCTCGGCTTCTTTCTCTAACGAATTAATTTTTGCTTCTTTTTCGTTGATTTTAGTGGTGGTTTCTTCGTAAAGTGCTATGGTTTCAATCCCAGCTTTTTTTAAATCTTCAACTTGATGTTCCAAACCAGTGATTTTTTGTTCGTAGATATTAATTGTTTCTTGGCCTGCTGTTTTCAACTCATTGATTAATCCTTGCATAGACTCAATCTTGGATTCATAGTCGGTCTTTTGTGATTCCAATTGAGATTTCAATTGCTCGATTTCGTCAGATTTACTTTGAATGGTTTTTTCCAATTGTTCAATCTTGTCGGTTAATTCTGATTGAGCATTAGGTGATATCTGGACAAGTAATTGTTCGATCTTGTCGGTTTGTTCAGAATTGACTTTTTCCAAATGCTGTATTTTTGATTGATGTTCGTCAGATTGTTTATTAGCTTTACCAAGAGCATCCTCGAGTTCTTTAACCTGTTCATCCTTTTGTTCAACCAGTTCGGTTAATTGTAATATCTTGTCACTCATCACATCATCATCTGCAATCATTGATAATGAAGTACTAGGTCTGAAATGATGACCTTTCGCCGAATCCTGAAGTTGTTTATTTAGATCTTCAATTTTACGATTTAATGATTTCTCTCGGTTCTCTTTCTCGTCCAACAATACCTTTTTCTCCGCCTCCCATTTTTCTTTATTTTCTCTATTTGCTGTCATTGAGACATCTGTTTGATTTGAATCTGATGTAGATTTCTTTATTTTTAAATCGGTGTTTTCATTTTCCAAAATTTCAATTTTCATTAATAATTGTTGAATTTTTAGTTCTTGTTGATCAAACAAACTGATATGATGAGCAGATTCAGAAGTGTCTTGATCATTAAGTAACTTTTGAATTTTTTCTTGAAGTATTTTATTACTCATTTCTTCATTATTGGTAGCATGGCCTAATGATTCGGTATCGGAGGTAGTTTGAGAATCGGTAGCGTGGTTTGGTGATGGACTACGGTGTTTATTATTAGCAGATATTCTCGATGAGTAGTGATATGATGAAGTGGGTTGTGATTTATTTGATACAGCCGAACCACTAGATGATGAGGAATTGGATCTGCGACGTGTGTTTGGTGGGGCATTATTATTATTATTACTAGAAGGTGATGATATTGATGATGATTGAATAGAAGAATTTGATTTAAGATTTCCAATTGATCCAGGACGTTTTAAAATGCTTTGTTTTGATTTAGAATATGGTGAATCATTTGAAGTTGTTGATGATTGTGTGATTTCTATATTTGAATTATTATTATTATTATTGGCAGAAGTGTTTTGTGAAGGTTTTGCCAAAGTTCTTTGTTTAAGTTGAGATGCTTTGACACCTATATATTTTGAAGCGCGAGAACCAGCAGTTATACGAGAAGCAGCAATTGCAGCATTTTGAGCATTTTTAGTCATGTTAGATGATGACTGTATATTATCAGGAGTGGCTGTGTTATTCGAACCTATTTGAGATGGACGTTGCAAAGATTTAGCCGATGATGGTAATCTTTGTTTTTGCCGTTGTGGTGGTGGTGGTGATTGATCAGACGAATCTTGATCTGAACTTGTTTCTTTTGAAAGTTTTGACGCGAGTACAAAAATTCCAGATTTTGGTTTACAAGTAAAATATGATTTTCTAATATAATCAATTAATTAATAATGAGAATAGATTGAAAAAAAAGAGATCGATTAATAAATTTTCTTCATTTAAAAGCAAAATTTTAAATATAAAATTTAAAAAAAAGGATTGAACGACAATATCATTTAAATATATATATATACTATTTATGATTTGATTTTTTGATTTTTTGCTTGATCGAAATCATTAAATCTCAAATAGTTTAAAAATTTAAATAATTGATACTCATCAAAATCCATTATTTTTAATAGATTAATTAATGAGTTTTTGATTTTTGATTTTTGAATGATTGTACACTCGTGCATATTTTAATATTTTTTTAACATTAAAAATATTTTAAGAATTGCATATATGTGAGAATGATATAACTCACCCATTGACATTTCCGTCATTTTTACCAGTACCTGGAAGATCTAATTCTATACCAGCCCAAGTTCCTGGCTTAATATCAAGTGGACCCAAGTATTTTAGAGTACCGATTATATTCATTGATTCAACGCTAACACGTTCGCCTACCGAATATAAAGAAAGCGATGGAGATTCAGGACGTTGAGGAGTGGAGGCAACTCGTAAACGTTGTTGAGCGGGAGAAGGTTTTAAACCGCCCCCTGATTGTAAATTTTGATTTGAAGGTGAACGACGAGGTTGATTTGGAGTTGCTAATGATGATGAGTTGTTATTTGTTGATGGTGGTGATAATATTTTTGATGACGATTGCTTTGGTGGAGCTATCGATGTTGCAGTATTATTTGATGTTGGTAATTCAGCAAGCGGCGGAAGAGTTGGACGAGTATTTCTAGAGACACTTTGTCTTCTAGCACCAGGTTTTCTTAATGTAGTAGTGTTTTGTTGTTGTTGATTGGAAGAAACAGGAGGCGGTGAAATCGAACTACTAGTTGTAGTTGTTAGTGGTGGTGATGTAGAGGAAGCATTATGATTTTCATTATTATTGTTACTTCTAGAACCATATTTTTCCATTACTTGTGCTAATAAAACTTCTTGTTCAGGAGTAAGCAGAGAAAGGTTTGGTTTTCCTTGATTACCTACAGATGAACGACGTCTTGGTGCAGGTAAATTAGAAGAACTGTTTGATACTGGTATTTTTGGTAATCTAGACATTGTTTAATGATTATTTTATTGTTTTTATTATCCTTGGAGTACTTTTTATATATAAAGTTAAATAACTTAAAAAATTAATTAATTGAAAAATTAACTAATTGAATAAATAAATTAAAGTTTTTAATTAAAATATTAAATATAAAATATAATAATTTTTTTTTTTGTGATCAAGAAGAGTAAAGAAAATAACAGTAAAGGTCAAAAAAGATCAAAAAAAAAAAATAGAATAAATAGAAAATAGAAGAAAGGAGTATAATCTAATTGTTTACTTATTAATTTATTTATGTATACCTGAATAATAATAAAAACAACAAGTAATGAATAATAGTGAATTTGATGGATGAATGTGACATGCTGCAAAAAAATGAACATTACGTCATGAATTAATTCCAGGGTACAAAGTTTAAGAACCAACCAAATATTAAATTTGATATTAATATTTAATATTAATAATTAATATCAATATCCGTTTGCCCATTGAGAAATTGAGCGAGTGACTCTTTTTTAATCCTTATTGTTATGTCGTCCCTCTAAAAGAGGATTGAATATTTATATTAATATTTATATTTATACAATGCATTTTTTTATAGGGAAATGGAATTTGTGTCACAAAAAATTTATATATCTAGATTAGTACGAGATCTAATTGACTAACGATATGTAATAATAAATTATCACCAATTTTTTGCAAAGGGAAAAATCAAAATTATAACATAAAGGATAACTTCTTTTATATATTATTAAATCAGAACGTTATTTCTTTTTGTGTCCCAACCTTTCTCTGTATATACAAGCTCATGGGAGGCTGGGAATCACCTTGATCAATTCAATAAAATAATCAAAAAGATTGAATTACTTTGCGTAAATAAAGATTTCTCATTTATTAATTTGATCTCGTATAAATTTCTTGGGTTCAATAAATAATCGCAGATAACATTAGCTCAACTTTATTTATTTGGTGGATAAATAAATTTGTTATACAAAATAAAACTCTGCTTTCTAAAAAGGGACCAGAAACAATTAGCGAAAAACCAAGGTCAAGAATACAGAAAAGATGAAAAACGCTTGGATTCAGCTTTCAATGCATTACATTATTGCAAAGAATATGACAATTGGCAAACTGGTATAAAAGAAATAAGAAGCAAAAATAGAAGAAAAAGGGGAACTATTGCGGTGTCTGACATTTTGACCCTGAAAATTTTTTTGCAACCAACATAATATTTGCGGCGTGCCCCATGTAAAACATAATTAAAATTATAACAATCGCATTTAAAAGTCTATTATTATTTTTATTATTGTGGGCATAATGATAACGTGGCTTTTTAAATATCATAATAATCAATCAATTCCCAATTTCCCTACTGTTTATTACATTTTTAGTATGATATATTAATATTGTTTGTCATGCATAATAACAAGTGTAACATCCCATTATTCAATAAAATGATAACACCTGAAATTGGGTTTTTTATATTGTTGACCAAATTATTATAATAGCAAAGCAAAGGGTTAGTATACCTAGCTAGGGCTGTGCAATTATTGGAGTAAATAAAAATTATTTTATAATTATTATCACATGACTATTCGAAATAAATATTGCGATAACTCTGAAAAATAGAGATAGACCAAAGGATAGAGTTATATGATGATTATAGAGTCTGTAAGGTAAAATATATAAAATCAAAATCGATCAATTTCATCAATTAAATATTTATTATCTAAAATATCTATGGTTATTCAACGGTAAATTTTTCCATCTGATTGTGTTTTTGGATTCAAAAATCAAAATTTCAGTTCCATAAAAAGTAAGTGATCACTGATATTTTCTTTAGTTCGTGTCACTATGAAATTTTGCACCAATAAATTATTTTTGAAACTCATTGTGTAACTATATAGCACAAATTTAGAGTCACTTAGTCCCACAACTTTTTATTGGTTGTATAGATTTTCAAATTCTCCAAAAATGTATATTTGAAGCCAAGACCTTCCTCTGCAAAATCACGATTTCATCTCATTGATATGTCATGTTGTTGTGGAGAATTTGAGC